ATAAACTGAAGAATTGCTGCGTACAATCTCGACATGTTAATCACAATGCCACAATTGTCCTTTTGTCAAAAGGTGGATTTGAATTATATAAGATCCACTAGCAGTCTCGAAAACCTACTTTAAAATAGAAAGGAAGTCATCGAATTAATTAACTAAACTTTATAGAAATTATAACTCGACATTAGCAACCCAAAATTAAATGTTCATCAGGGAAATGCGTTATATCCAAGAGCGCTTTGACTTTATTGTAAACCCTTGCATGCACTGCCAAAGATTCAAATTATAGTGCAAGCGGTTTATTCAAGATTGTTACATTAAGTGTTTTAGCCGCATTAATTGACCTCCCTTCATCGTGTGTATTTAGGCAAGTCTGAAAATAATATGCGATCTTGATTTAAGCTTTACTTTCCTGGTCAAGGGTTTTGCTAAATTTTCTGGTCTTAAATTACCATTGAACAAACTTTACTTTAGTATTAGTTCGACCTTGCTTTCGCAACTTGATCGTAGCTTCAGGGAGACCTTTTAGAATGTACCTATTCCTGTGCCATCTGTAATAGTATTCGTGACTTTCAGTTCGGACAATTGACTTGGTACATTCTCAAACGGTTCGCCGGCATCGGCGCCATCGTTAGTACAGAGTTATAACTTATCAAAGTGACAAGTTGCAACTTATCACATTTTAAAGCTAGAGGAGACCGCCACACTATTTTGGTCTTCGTATCTACAAACTTTAATTTATTTTAATTTATTTTAATTGAATTAAAGGCTATATAATTTTAGTACATCTTTAACTAGGTCATCACCATCGCGTTAGAGTCAATATGAATCCTTTGAGTCATGTCAGGCCCCCCTCATTTAACACTTATATTATAGTTGTAATTTTGGCAAGTCAGTATTTGCCATTACAATTGGGAGCGTTGTTAGATCCCTAGTGAATATGTGTAAAGAATACCGGTAGAGAATAAATAATATCTACTCGGTATCTACGCACCACATATCAACTAATATCGTCGAGTTTAATTGCAAATACAAGTTTTCTTTATCTATTTTAAAGAGGCCAGTCTAACCTTGAGATTCACATCTTCCCTATTGCCCACTAACACTCATGGCTGCATAATGGAGTGGTAAAGAGTCGCCGCAATGCTCACGACAAAGTTTAGAATCCCGTTAGGGTTGTTGATTACACCTAGTCGAGATAGGACCCGCAATCTAATCGGATGAGCAAACCTCTTGGGCAGCATGTGTTAGTGTAATTTAACGACATCGTATAACCTACTTATGTTATCGTGAATAAAGCACTTTTATTAATTTATAACTCAATTTAAAAGACCCTGATGCGCACTGCATTCAAAGTCTCTAAACTCATTTTCACGTGCCATTGTGAGTTCTCAGTTGGTCCGAAGCTACTACTGAAAAGATGTTAATAGTCCATATTAACGATGCTCACAATGTTCATGATTATGCTGAATGGTTGGAAATGATTAATGGATTGGCCTTACCGGAGACGGATAGAGTATTACTTCCTGCTGCCTTGATTAATTTGTGCAACACTCTACGTCGAGGACATATTCGTATGAGCCTACGGTCACAGCTCCACAGCTTTAATATGAAATTTATTCAGCCAATTTCGTTTAAGGTGATGAAGGACTGGTAGAAGAATTTCCCCACAATGATATGAATTGAGCTGACGTTTCCATTGAATTTCACATAGCCTTGCTTTCCCCAAAATTGTTCTCATCCAGGCACCAGTGGACTGCAGTTTCAACCTCGCATCGGTCTTATCAACACCCTCAGCGGTAGTCGAACCGCGATAGTGCAGGACGGGAACTTGACACGCTACCCACTCGGCTACACTGACACGAGCGCCTTTTGGGTCACAGGGCAAATGTGAATTTTTAAGGAAAGCCAGGCCTTCTTGCCATATCATATTCTTTTGGTGGGATTGTCGATGAAGCAAACGTATGTTTGCTATAACAATCGACTACTATACTTTATTTTTCG